TGTTGAGTAAGAAACATCAGCTCACGCGGAAGCAATCGAAAGTACCTGGGGTAACAACAAAATGAATAATAAGTCCATGTTTGGAATTGATCGCAGCATGTTTGACTCTATTTTGTGTGACCTCTTTCGGAGACGTAAGGCAAAAATAACAATCAATGCATATTTTAACACATTTTTAAAGACATTTCTGAATTTTGCTATGAATTTGACTAAGTATAAATTCTTTTTATTTTGGGGTGAATGAATAGAAAAATCCAAATCCATTTTCATCGAAGTGCCTTACACAGAAGATAGTGTATTTTGGTCCTAATTTTGGGGAGGAGGCATTAGTAAAAATGATTTTGATCTTGAAGAAGGAACAAAATCAAGATAGTTTTAAACCTCCAAACCTGCAATGTTGTTATTTAAATCTCGTTCTGTCTATCTCTTATAAAGAGAATGAAAGAACTAAGATTTGGATGCGCCAAAAACAGCTATACGTCTGTAAAATTAACATTCAACTTACTCGTAGTTGCTGTATGGCGAAAGTATGCAACAATCTCTCGCTGTGGATTAATAGTCAACGAAAGAGTTCAATAGTCATTGTTATGCTTCACCAAAACTCTATAACCAATATCTCTATCTTTTTGTCAACAATAATTAAAGCTTAGGGTATTCATTTTTCCGCATCCCAATACGAAATAATGTAGCAAAATGCTGAGTTTTAAATTAGGTGCCCTACGCATAATATTTTAAGCATTTCTCCCCAAGCAAGGCGGGATGCCACTAGTACACAGGGGTTTACAGAAAGGGATAGAGAATAAAGAGGAGTGATGGAGGAAAGGATGAAGAGAAGGGCAGGGGATAGTTCAGGGAATCTGGAGATTGGTATTACATTTGAATAGTTGGAGATTATAGCTATCAGGGAAACAAGTTAGAGGAAGGGAATTCCTCAGACGGGAGGTGCGAGACATGAAACTATTGAAGTAGAAAAGACAGCCATATTTAACCGTTTAGACAGCGAAAGGGTGGGGCAGTGATACCAGCCTAGTAGCACGCTTAAATTCATGCAATCTGTGAACTAGCGATAGTAGCACGTCGGAGCAGTTACCATGAAAGTATTTGTAGAAAAGACAGAGGGAGGCGACGGCACGTCTGGATGTTGTCGAGGACCTTAATGTGAATAGCGGGGGCACCTGACCATATATGGCAGCAGTATTCCATGTAAGGGCAAATGGTTGATTTGTAGATTTGAAGGATGGACTCAGGCGAGAAAAAACTTTTTGGCGCGACACAGGGAACCAACTTTCCTTGCGGTGGATGAAGCTATTGATTCAATATAATTGTTCCATCTCAGGTCAATATAAAAATTGCTCAAGCCCACATGGCACTCTCCATTTTAGGGACTCTTCAAACACTAGGGATTAATCTCTGCCCCGCTCAAGTAAATTTATGACGTTTTTGGAGACGGGCCCACTAGTGATCAGCATCATTATACTTAAATTTAGCTCCAGCGTGGTTTTGGCATATGGAGCAGAAAGTTAAAGGTAGTATTTGATTTGCCTTTGTTTTTAATGTCGATATTTTAGCCTTTTTCAAATTATCATAGCTTATATTTTATGCACAATCGCCAAGACTTATTTGTTAAGTTATGTTTGATGGATCTACATATTCTTGAATTTTAAGTACCTTGTCAATTCAGTACGTGTGTGATTATGAATCTCTCTCTGCCCATTGTAGCTCTTAGGAAATTTTGTCTTTTTGCTAACTCACCTAAATACTGTTCTGTCAACCATTTACACAAACTTGTTACGTAAGAGCATGCACTGAATTCTTTCGTCATGTGACTATCAAATTTTCAAAGCTGTCTTTTCTCATTGTGCCCGAGAAATTTCAAAACTCAGTTATGATGTTAACTATAACTATACTTTTTCTTTCATTTTGCCTAAAAATTTGTTGTTGCTCACATTTTCAGTCGATGTTATTCTCAGCATCCTTCTGTAGAACCACATTTCTGCTGTTTCAAGTGGATGCTTCATCGTCGAGTAGATTGCTCAGCATTCACTGCCTTATAGGATGACTGATATTATATTAGAGTTCAGTATTATTTTCATTGTTTCTAACGACATTTTTTTTTGTTTCTTAATACTTTACTCAGCTTCTGGAAGGCATCTTTTACTATCCTAATGCACCTTGGGATTTCGGTGTTGCAATTTCCGTTACCTCTTAGTACACATCCCGTGTATTTAAATTGTTTTACTTGCTTGATTTTGCCAACTCCAATTTGTAATTTGCATGTTGTTTTATTTTCCTTTTGCTGCAAACCATAGATTATATCTTCTTACATTGATGTCTACTCCTTATTTTTCTCGCTTTCCCTCACTACATAAAGTAGGAGTTCCTGTATTTTCCTTTATACCCAGGCAGAAGTTTGCCATCATCATATCTACCGCTTCTAACACTTCGTCCATCAAAAATAAATCCTGGTAGGATATATAATTCTCACAGAATCACCTCGCTGTATAGATTTATTAAATCCTGCGATAAGATACACACTTGTCTTAGAATCATTTCAATTTTTGTAATTATAATTCTGTTGGAAATTAGATTATTTTAAAAGTGACACGGTCCATTGAAAAGATTCACGGATTTTTTATTATGAAGCTATCGTCCTTTTTGGGACTCATCGTCAGTGCGCATCCACTACCGAGAATTGAAACCCAGACACACATGATATGAGGCAAACGTCATACCAACTGTACCAACGGGCCCGAAGAGGTAACGAATTAGACTCGATATTGCGCCGCTCGATCACATATCCCGTTGTGGAACTCATCGAAGTTTCCCTTACCCATAGGACTGTGCCTCCGAGGAGCCACGACTACTATTCCCAAGCCGCTCCATTCAGAGGATTAGAAGCCAGTACAAGCAAGGATATGCAAATGATAGAAATTAAGGAGGATTTGAGATAATTATAATTAATAATTCATTGAGTCTAAAAGAAACCTCAACAGAATGCAGAAAGAACTGGACACCAAAACATAGGACGAAACGGCCGTCCAGTGCTTTCTGAATTCTGCTAAGTTTTCTTCTAGATTCGATGAATTACTTAATTATAATTATCTCAAATCCTCCTTAATTTCTATCATATATATATATATATATATATATATATATATATATATATATATATATATATATATATTTGCTGGATAGATGTGAGTTTGTGACCCTGGGTTTCACGCTTTAGCGATCGTCAGAGTTTGTCTGACGATCGCTAAAGCGTGAAACCAGGGTCACAAACTCACATCAATCCAACCAAATATGTTAGCTCTCTCTGATATTGAGCGCTTTCTAATAAGTACTGTGCATATAATATATAAATAATTATACATATATATATATTTATTTATATTTACATAGACTTTTCACACACACACACACACACACATATATATATATATATATATATATATATATATATATATATATCAGGTATGTGGTGCAGTTCAATGTACATTACATGAATCCTTCATAAAAAAAAACAGATATAGAAGTTAATGTTTTAATTGGCGAGAAATCATTAACTTCTATATCCGTTTTTTTTTATGAATGATTTTTTTATTTATATATATATATATATATATATATATATATATATATATATATATATATATATATATATATATATATATATATATACTGTACTTTCCGGCTTACATGACGCTGCGGCTTGAAAGAAATTTCTAAGAAAAAAAAGGGGCATTTTCATACAATATTCATCATGTGTCCCCCACATATTGGCGCCATCTATTGTTTACATTAATCCCTACTCCGATTTTGTTTCTATGGCAATGTCACACGAGTCAAGAGCAGAAAGACTCCTGCCGCTGCTAGTAAACAGAGCATGTTTAATATAGTGGCTCTGCTCCCGGAAGGTTTATAGTCTTGGAAATACTTCTAACAGCTAAGTACTGAGGTTACATCATATAAAATGCTGAATTAAATAGATAGCTGCCATTATAGTGTAATGACTCAACATACAAATCTACGTCACTATCATTGAAGCCAATTACGAGACCGTCCAAGCTTACTTGAACCTGGGCTTTTCCTTACATTCGTCTTGAAAGATGCACACTTATTTTAAAGGTATTTCTATGAAGAAAAAGCGCCTCTTGTAAATAAGGTATATATATATATATATATATATATATATATATATATATATATATATATATATATATATATATATATATCTGTTTTGCCTGTGTGTCTGTGTGTATATGCATGTGTGTATATATGCGTGTATATTATATATATATATGTGTGTTATGTATTTATGTGTGTATGTGCAAACTTTTGTAACGCGTGTATACACAATATATTTACATGTTCGTAAGAGGTCAGATTGATTTAAAAAAATGTATCCTTTTACTTTTAAATATATCTATTTTCCTCAGTAACCTTTTTCCCGGATAGAGATGTCTCCGTAGGGCGTTCGTCTAAGAAAAATGTTCAAAAGTTTTTTTGTTTTTTTTTCTTATCGATCGTACAACCCTTGTCATTTTCAACGGTCATTTGAAAAATCTTTACTTCTCAACGCAACCTGTACATCTTGAATTGACGCCGATAGAGAATGTTGCAACTAGTTTTACGAATATATAAATACAAAGATGAATAAATAAATGTTAGTTTGAAAAAGTTTTGCGGGCATTGACACACGCACCAAACCCCACCTAACGTTCGCAGTACGACGTTTTTCTTGCTTTGACAGTGATCTCTTTCTTCTTCTTTTTCTTTCTTTCTTTAGTTCTTTACACCTTTAACAGTGTCACAATAATCAGAAAGCATTACAATTCATCACCTCAACATTTTCACCCGAGAGGAAATATGAATCAAAGGACGCTAGAACAACAAAAAAATGAGAATTTTTTTTTTCTATTTTTGTTGGAAGCTAAGGAATCAGTTTGTTTTTTTTTTTTACCATCACTGTCTTTGCTTTTGTCTGCTTTTTATATCTTATGTCGTTCTTTCCTCTTCTTTGTTATTTTCTCTCATCTTACCTTTTCTTTTGTGTTTCTTTTCATTTCTCTTTTAACGTTATCTGCCTATGTTTGCTTGTAACGTATTTTACACTTTCTTTATTTTCTTCTTGTCTGTTTTTTCTTCTTTTTCCCTATAATTCATTTCTTTTCTTTCTTACTCTCTCCTTTGATATTCAGTTTGTGCTTTCGTTTTTTTCTTTCCATTCTTTATATTATTTATTTTTTCATGTTTTCCTTACATTTGCTTATAACATCATTTATACGTTCTTTTTTATTTTCTATTTATCTCCTTATTTTCTTCTAACATATATTCCTCTTCTTCGTTGTTTTCTTATCCGATGTTCTATAGTTCTTTGCCTTTTTCTCTTTTCCTTTTTCGTACGTTATTTATTTTAGTTCCTTATTTTCCAGCATTTCCTCCTCATATTTGCTCATAAAATAATTCTCATCATCGTTCTTTTCTCTTCTTTTCTTCCAACATTTACTAAACTTTCTTGTTGCTTTCTCTTTCGAGTTTCAGTCGTACATATTATTTCCCTATTTTTTTTATTTTTTTTATTATTTTAATTATTTAATTATTTTCATTCTTATTTACCTTCTTGTATTTTCTCATTATCAGGCTGTTTTATTTTCTGTTTTTCAGGTTCAATTCCTTTTGTTTTTTATGCTTCTGTTACTATTACAACTTCCTCTTTACCTTTCTATGCTGCCTTCATTCTTGTTTCCGCACACCAAGTTTTCAGTCGCTTTAATTCGACTTTTCCTTCTCATTATATTTGCTTTCATGAATGTTACCAGTTAATTCGTTTTTTCTTCTACATTTATATTATATTTCAGACTCATTCTTGTCTTCTTTTGTCTTTCAGTTTTATTTGTCTATTACTGAAGCCTTCTTTCCTTTCTTTCTCTTTTTTTCTCTTTTTTTCTCTTTCACAATAACGAAAACTTCGTGTAACAGACGGCACTGGGAAGGAAGACTAACAGAAAAAAAAAGAAAAAAAATGAATGAGGAACAAAGAATATAAAATATATATATATGTATAAACAAATAAACCAAAAAAAAAATAACCGAAAGAAAATGATCTTTGGTATTTAATTCCACATCACGACCTTCCATTCGGCAGACGTGCCGTTTGAAATTGAGCACGTTTTCGTGACGTCTGCTTTTCTCTATTTCTATGCGTCAAGCGCCATAACTTCATGTTGCGTTGCAACCAACCAGAACTCGCCACGTAGAAGAACGGTTCGTTCATTTATTCGAATAATTCACCGGCGGCATTCAAAACAGAATTTAAAAGATCTCACTTGTTCATTCAACAATCAAGTTTGAGTATTTACCTTAGCGCTGTGAACGTACGAGTGGGTAAACGAACATCAATAGGAGAGTCTAATTTTCTTGATAACTTTCAATGTATTTATCACTTTCAGGCAAATATACTCCCTGTTTCTTTCAATATATATATACAGACATATATATATATATATATATATATATATATATATATATATATATATAATTATTTATTTAAAAATATGATTCCAACTCGCGACATAAAAAGTTTCATGTTTCAAAACAAGAGCCGAAAACTTCAATATAATTATTTGAATTAAATTGAGTTAAAGTGAGCTCTGTTTCATCTTCAAGCGAACTTTTTGGAATCCCAAAAAATTTTCGGCTCTTGTTTTGAAACATGAGACCTCTTATGCCGCGAGTTGGAATCATATTTTTAAATAAATAATTATATTTATGCTCTACTTTTGTATCGAGCACTATATTTTAAAAATAATAATTAAATACTAAGGAACTTTGGATTACTTACCTAACCAGATCCTTCCTATTTTCTATATATTTTCACACACACACACACACACACACACACACACACACACACACACACACACACACATATATATATATATATATACATACAGACGCATATATAGGTATATATATATGTGTGTGTGTGTATTTGGTATGCCGCTTTAGTTGACTATATATGACATATAGGTCTATATATATGACATGAAGTGGGAAGAGTATATTGAATCAATTACTAAGTCTGCACTTATCAATGTGTGTCCACTGTGTTTTGCTAGAAATTTTTTCTCGGTAGAATCTGTCTTATATATTTATGAATTTACCATATGTCCTTGTTTTGAATATGGCTCCCACATTTAATCAGGTGCTACTGCTATATATTTAGAGATCCCTGATAAAGTGCAAAGAAGAATCTGAATGGTATTAGTCCTGGCCTGGCATATCGGCTTCAGTCCGTTCCCCCCACACACACACCTTAACGTAGCTTTTCTATGAATAAATTTCGTGAAAATTATTTTGATTAAACTTCTTCTATGCTACACAGACTTAATGAATTTAAACGATTGGCGGAGATTTCTCATTATTTTACAATTGTAATGGCTAGATGTAATTCTATGCAAACAGTTTCATCTATTACGCTGCTGGCTTGTGGAACTCACTTCCGGCTTCTTGCTTCCGAGTCAACTTTGATCTTCAAAAATGTAAATGCAGTGTCAATCATATATCTTCTTGATTATTATTTTTTTTTATAGTTCTTTGTCCTTAATGATATTTTTCTTATATTCACTAAACCACTTGCGTCTTAATTTCTCTATTGCCTTGTTTGAAAAATGATTAATATATATATACTAGCAGCATGACCCGGCGTTTTCCGTGTTTGATTCAAGAATCGACGACACATACAGCAATCGCTATAACATGATTTAAAATATTTTTGCCATTCCTTGCCTTTAAAGGAGTGCCTTTGCCGTGCTGATGTTGCTACATGCCTTACTTCTTGCCTATCACACGGTGTGAATTTTTTCTAAGCTCTATACTAAACATTAAATCTGTTACGAAAAAAGAACTAAACAAAATGAACACAAAACGATCAGCTGGAAAAACCGAATGAAAAAAGAATGTTAACAACATATACTTTTTCACACCCAACCCAGTTCTGCGGAATCAGAATCAACGTTGAGTTTAAGCAAGCGAATGAGCCAATTGGAGTAAAGTGCCATGCAGATTTAAATTTTTCATACTTGTGACGAATGCAGCTATCGATTTTTTTGGTATGCTAGCATGCTAGTTAACATTCATGTCAATTAGCTGTTGGCTCTCACGCTGACCAATAGAAACGTCCTACCTATTCGTGGCGGCCAGCTTTTGCCTCTCACTCTGGCCAGTACAAAATGGCCGCAAACTACATGAAAACTGCCATAGAGGCATGACAAAATCGATTATTTCCACTATCGATGGGAGTTGGGAAATGCAAAGTCGGTCTTGGCCTTCGCGCTAACTTGGAGCATGCGCATGTAAATATTGTTGCAAATCCGTCGAAAATTGCGGGCGTGCATTCGTTACACACACACACACACACACACACACACACACACACACACACACACACACACACACACACACATCCTGCCTTTATATATATATATATATATATATATATATATATATATATATATATATATATATATTATATTATTTTACATTATTCCGACACTTGTCCTCATCTTTATCTCCATATTTATTACAACGTTTCGGCCGTTGTACGCTCCAGACTTCGTCATGTAACTGATATCCATTAAAACATGGCACGTGGAACTAGAACAGTCTACCCCAGTGACCGAAATAAAGGGTCCAGTTTGACATTCCAACCACCTGAAAAATGCCGGAGCGTACAACGGCCACAACGTTGTAATAAATATGGCGACAAAGATGATGACAATAGTCCGAATAATGTAAATAATGTACATAATTTCTCATCTCAGAAATATAGACAGGGAGTTTAGGAGATATAACAAAAAGACAACATTATTTAAGAGCTAAAATGGACAGGAGATTTTGGACAGCCATGATCACCAACGGCCTGAAGGGACACAGGACATAATTAAAAAAATAATGATGATTATTAAATCAGCGTATCAATGCTTTTACCATAACACAAACATGGAGACTAGTAATGAACAATGTGGAACAATTTTATTCTGAATTCATTACTTATTTAAATTCACATACTTACTTTTTATACAATTTTTTTAGTCTAAAATCTACAAGAAATATCTCCAAGAAATTTTCAAAGAGATATTTTGTGTAGTTTTCTTTCGTTCCGTCATAAATTGCTTTTTTCGTTCCGTCATGAATTCCTTTTTTGTCTATTAATTTACACATTATGTGTAATAAAATAGCAATGAGTATATTAATAGTAAAGTGAATACTAATAGAGGCGTCTATTTTATTGACGTAATATGAGATTCGTATGAGAATGAAAGTAGTGATGATGTTAGGGTATCTGTCCGACATAATTTTTGTAAGATTGGTGTTATTCAGAATTCTTCAAAGAGTTTTGTTTTATTTGAGAAGGGCAAAATAGAGATCCCTTCAAATAATGTCGGTAACTTAACACAGACGTTGAACCTATTCTCTCGTGAGTACAATTTCTGCTCATGATTGAATATTCGCCGTTGCCAAAGCAATCGGCGAAGCGAAAGCTTCGAAATTTGAATGGCGTATTCCTTTAATCATCTTTGGGTCCTGAATATATTGACACCTGTCAGCCTTAATCAATATTCTATATTGCCGTGAACATTTCTTCTTTCTAGCTTTTCGCAGAAATAAATATATTTGGGATCAACACTAGAAAATTTCTTTTCCTAGTTAATTGCGTTTTTAGGAAAATTCCGTTCAAGCTGTCTCTTCTTCCATCTTTCCCTAGGAGGAAGCAAGAAACGTTAATAAAAAATGTTAAATTCTTTGTGACTGCAAAAGCATTTGATGTCGAAAATGATATATACATATTTTTAAGGCCAGTTTCGTTTTGATAAAAATACCCCATAGTACATTTCAAAAATTGACACTCATACATCAACCAGAGAAGACCCTGGAGCACTGACTGAATGCTGGATACCAATATCCATTATTAGATCATGATCGTAAAGAACGTGTTAATTGCAGCCTAAAACCTGTAATTTGCCCTCGAAATATTATTTTAGTTTTTTCAAAACATCATATTTTCTCCTTTAATCTTACCTCATCTATCACTAAGAGTGTCTTAAGACTATAATCCCACAAACGGTAATTCAGCAGATGCTACAGAATAGAGCGAAACAATAAAAAAATGCTTCAACAAAAAAAAAAACACATAATACAACAATAAAAAGACTAGTATATATAATTAGAAAAGAAAATAATTAAAATATGTTAACATGTTAACATTCTATCCTACAAAATAGGAGTTATATTTATAGATAAATATATTGTTGTGTTTTGATATAGTTTCCATGTTCAGACATGATGAGTTCTGATCAAGTATAAAATATGGATGATCGGAATCCAAAAGAATGATACGATTAGAAACAAATAAGAAACATTTATCAATTTAACATTTTTATCTTTTATTATTGCTTCATTGGAGACTGAGACATGTCTTAGGGGAGTTATAACAATGAGTATATAATTGTAAACCGCTTAACATTTGTATATATAAAAATATACATAACAATGAGAAACAGCAAGAGTCGGAAATAAAAAAACAATTATTATTTCTCATGTGGTCGTTATGTGGTGTTGGAGAAAGCAGAGACGGTAATACTGAGTACAATTGTGAGTTTGGCCAAAAATATAATTCAAATATGTACTGTACTGTACTGTACTGATGCGGCATTCACCCTGGGCGGATTGAGCCGGCTTCTTCCTGTTATGAGAAGAAGATTCTTGGGATAAATTACAGAAGTAGGGTACCCAGGCCTACTCGAATAACGTTCTTGCTTGCCGCGGGATTCCCACAGACGCAGAGACAGGAACGACCAGAAGCCGCCGGTTACCGATGCAGACGCTCCTTGGATTTTCACCAAAGCCCTTGTTAGCCGGCGTGTGTGTCAGACCTGTCCGCCTTGGGTGGCCCTACCAGGAACGAAGTTCC